CAATCATCCAAGGATTATCGCCCTTTAGGATCAGCATTCAATTATGAAACACCCTGTATAGTGATTATCATCTGCATTTATCAAAACAATATCTACCAAGATTCTGATAGTTACAGTGACAACAACGATGTGATACTTCCCGACCTAGTCCGAGAAGTACCAACTTCCCGGACTAGGCCGGAAACATGCAACTCTCTTAACGATATAGCGTCCGGAAAGTGAGCACTTTCCAGACGATCCAAAATAATATATATTTCTTCATGGAATTATATAAGAAAATAGAAGAGGGCGTATTTTGATACCCACCAGTTGCCTGGGTTATACAGGGTCCTGCATCTCACCTCCCGTCTTCTATAGCTCTGTTATCAGTTGAGTCAGAATTTTGATACTTCGCAGACTTCAATTGTATCATAGGTCGCATGCAAGAAGAATAATTTCGATTATACAGGGTGTCCCAAAAAAGTGTGACGTCATAATAATATGTTTTTTGGATTACATGCCATATATTTTGTAGCAGATATGAGTGCTTCCAGTGGTTACCTACATACTCTCACAATTTAATCGAAAGCGATCTAGTGGTATTCACGTAAACAAATAAAACGAAAAAATTTTATTTTGCACCACTGTGCCTGGTCAAATGAATCATAAGATACACATACCGAATGAGGCCTAAGAGGATCGCTGACCAAATTTGATTGACATAAATCATCACAGGGTGTGCAAAATTTAGCGGCAAAATGATACAATTGCAGTTCACAAAATATCAAAGTCCTAACTGAACTGTAGGACCCTGTAGATATTAAGTGATATTTTATTGCATAGAAAACAGATGAACAAATATTACTTCAGTCAACAAACTTCATGACGGGGAGTATAATTTATCATTCTCAATGATAATCCATTACCAAATATCCAAAATGCTGATAATACATCCAAAGGGTGTTGCAGTTTCGATATCAAAAAACATCTTTATATCATGGTTCCTTTCTGAATTGTTATCTTTCATTTTCGCCAGACAGATAACTGGAGTAAAAAATAGTATATTGCACACCGAGGTGAGAAGTGATTCATTTCTGTCGTGAGACTAGTTAGTTAACCGAGACGCAAAGCGTCGAGGTTAGCTATAATTTCGAGACAGGAGAACTTTCTACCGAGGTTTGTTTACTATTTCATTTACAATCATTATATTTCGATCAAAATTAATGAATCTTTGTTTCGTTCTGAGGATACCTGAATAATGGGGAAGACCACTGAGGGAAGAAATCCGTGCAAACCTCTTTCAATCGACGAATCATGATTTACGTTTGATCTACAATCAATATTATGAGTTGAAGTTGAAGGGAATCGAATCTATATCGTTTTGAAATCAGCATATTTCATTCGTTATTTCGAAAAGCCAAATATGATGGGGGAGATGTGACGTATTAGTCCCGCACTGTAGCTATCTCTCTCTGATACCTCGTCCTTCTGCAGTGTTGCAGTGTGATTGGTGAGTTCAAGGACAATAGGCGTGTTGGGACTAAGACGTCGCACCAGTCTCACCAATGAATTGACAAAATTTCAAATGGCGCAGGAATTGTGTGTTTAGAAATGGACATATTCAAATTCATTTTTTTCATCGTCTTAGCATGAATGAAAAAATTCAAAATTAATTCACGGGTAGTTTTTCAGCCTATAGTTCACGATAATGTCGTTTCAAAAAATCAGTGGTCTCCCTCATTACATGAGTGAGGGGCGGAAAGTGAGGGCGGGAAGTAGAGGTGTGTAATATGACACTTCTTAACCTTCAATGACGTTAATAATGACAACATTACACACAGTGTCATTCATAAAGTCGGCATCATATGGGAAAAACTTTTATGAATGACTTATTTCGAAATTCGAGTTGGAAGTTGAGTTTTGCTTCAAAAAAGATGGAAAATGGCCTACTCAATCGGGGTCACGTGACTTTCGCTACATGTCAAAAGTGACATTCTTTCAAATTAATTGCTGAAAGGAGGCTTATTTGTTCGAATATCGAAAAATTTAGTCGAAAAAGTTGTTTCTGTTTCAACTTTACAAATTCTCCACAAATTTGATCTTTCTGTTGCAACTTTTAGATTTTGATTTTTTTTTCAATTTTTCGAAATTTTTGTAGAAGAATTGTTAATTCCACAAAACTACTTCATACCAGTAGCTTTTTCATGCTACTAACTTTCAATTATTCATTATTTATTTATTTATTTATTCTCAAACAGGTAGAAAACCTTATTACATGAGAATCATAATGTATATAACAACAGTATCTATATGATAACAGTCTTAGAGTATATCATTGCAAATATTCTACTAACTACAATAATTGAAATGATCATTTCAAATCACTGATGGCGCGAACACACTATAAAAACTGTTTATTCTAAATTAGAAAAATATGTTTTCATACCATAATAAAATTTTGAGGGAGGGAGAACAAAGCTTACTTCTGACAATAGTAGGAAGTTGTTTGTTAATTTTATCATTGTTATAATAGGTGAACAGTTATTAGTTGATACAAATGGAACATCAAAGAATTGTACAAGCCGGGTCAATCGATTGGGAGATCTTCTTTTCAATACTGATCGGAGATAGGGGCAGTTATAATATTTTTTGTAGATTTTATAACACATTGTGACTATAATTGCTTGTCTTCTATTTTCTAGACTGGGTATTTCAAATTCCCTTCTAAGTGCTACTGTTCTAACTATATTATAATCCGGGTAAACTTTATATTTTTTATAATACAGATATCTCAGAAATCTGTTTTGAATTTTTTCCAAAATATTTTTGTTGATTAGCTGAGAGGGATGCCAGATTGCAGCGCCATATTCAAGTTTAGGTCTTACTAGAGTATTATAAAGTGCAGTTATTGCTTTGGTGTCATTGAAATGTGCACTTTGTCTCATTACATTATCACTGATTATGGACAGAAATATGATTTTCTTCAGAAAATGATAATACCCGCTTCCAAATTCTGTTATGTTTGATGCGAAGTTGATTTATCGTCAAGCATTTAGAGACGAAATTCATTTAGACTGATATTTTCAGTACTGAAAAGATGCCGAAGCCATCGATCAAAATATCATCATACTTCATGTATCTGAGTAATATTCAGTATTTTTATGGAACAAATCTATCTTGAATCCATGATTATGTACACTAGTGTGAATACTCAATGCTCGAATATAATTGCTACTGGCCCAGCTATGAACAGTCTTTGAAATTGAACAATTTTGCAGGAGAGGAGAGTAGGCTTTGGAGATGAATGAAATGGGTAGTCAATGACAACAATTTCATATTAATCATTGTTCGACAGTTAAATACGTGGTTTTATACGTTTGAAACAAATAAATGTAAGAATGTTATCGATACAAGAAAAAATTGAAATCATTTTAATGTGTGGAGAAAATACACCCCATCGACAAGTAGCTGAAGATTTTAATCTCCGACATCCGGAAAGAAATATACAGCAGTCGACTGTTAGTAGAATCTTGGCAAAATTCAAAAGTAGGAGGTTCCATTTTGAATGATTTCAAAAAACCACATAATGCAATGATATCTGTTTAGATGCGATAGAGCATGTATTTTTATACTTTCTTTTTGTTAATTGTATAATTGACTTGTCCGTTATTTGATGAATGAATAAATAAATAAATCTATGGTATGTTATTATAACCTACCCATTTAATTTGTCTTCATTGCCTACTCTCCTGCAGAATTATTATTGCTGAATATCAGAGACGTTGCATCGCTGGGCCAGTAGCGATTAAATTTAAGATTCATTTATTCCGTAAAACTCCTGAAGGTTGCTTAGATAGATAGAAGTAGTTCGATGATATTTTGATCGATGGCTTTGGCATCTTTTCAGTACTGAAAACATCAATTTCAATGAATTTCGTTTCTGACTCAAACATAACAGAGTTTTGATGTTATGTTTGCATCAAACATAACAGAATTTTGAAGCGGAGATTATCATTTTTCGAAGAAAATCATATTTTTGTCGATAATCAGTGATAATTAGTAAGTAATTTGAAGTTAGTAGCATGATGATGCTACTAGTATGAAATAGTTTCATCGAATTCACAATTTTTTTAATATTACAGAAATTTCGAAAATTTTCAAAAAATATCGAAATCTAAAAAATATAATAAAAAGATAAAATCCGAGTCACATACGTGGAATTGAAATAGAAACAACTTTTTCAAGTAAACTTTTTCGATATTCGAACAAATAAGCCTACTTTCAGCGATTAATTTGAAAAAATGTCACTTTTGGCATGTAGCGAAAGTCACGTGACCTCGATTGAGTAGGCCATTTTCCATCTTTTTCGAAACAAAACTCAACGTCCAACTCGAATTTAAAAATGAGTCATCAATAAAAGTTTTTCCCATATGATGCCGACTTAATGAATGACACTGTATATGGTTGTAAATAAAAACTATGATTGTTTCGATAATTGATAATTGAAAAGTTATCACCAAATTCGTACGGCAACATGGTTGTTCGAAACACTTGCAGGTCACTGATGATTATCGAAAACATCTCAAAACGTCAACAGCGAGCCATGTCCCAACCTTTTACAGACAGGATGTGATGAATATATTATATTTTTTTCTTGTATACATATTTTACGGGTTTTAGAGATTTCAGTTCTTCATCATGGATTCTGAGATCAGGTAGTACACATTGTATATTGTATTTTATATTCATGATGTTTCATTTCCGTTTGAAGAAACAATGTTTGTCCACAATTGGTAATTTTGTACTTTTGTAGCAACTGAAATCGTTCTTCATACCTCCACCAACACATCCCAAATGAAGAAAATGAAGACACCGATAGCGAAAAATATTGAATTCATCAAAGTTTTCTGATTTCTACGAAAGTGCGATTGATTCGTACTATGTATATATGTATATTAATGTCATCAGCATTTCTCATGCAATGAAATCTTATAGATATGAATGAAAATTTATGAACTCACCAGCCATTCCTAAATGTTGTTCGAGATGTTATCACTTCAGATATTCTGATCGTAGTGAGCGTAGTTTGTTGAATCTTTATACTAAATAACCAGTGTATTTGTGTTTAATGAGTTTATGACTATTTTATCAGATCATTACTTTGGGAACTGCCATTTAACATCAATAACTAATCCCAATAAGATAAGATGTTTTCTCGTGTAGATTGAAATTCATAGAATATTTCTCATTACTAATCTTCAAATTGAATATAGGAATGTACAGGGTATATAATTTTCAGGAGTTTACGCGTTTTATGCAAGGTGTTAATCAATTGATGTCTGAAACCATAAACATATTCCTCGAAACTCTCAACCTTCGAGTTATAGGTGTTAACATTTCATTTTCTTGTTTTATTATTTTTTCTACCCAGCGTGCGCAAAGTTGATATTTTCATGCGCACTGCGTACGGAAAAGTGAAACTCCTATGGAATCTTACTAGTATGAAAAATTTCATTTCATTTCAGTTGCTGTAGACTATTTCATGCAATATGAGAATCCGTTGCAAGTGTATTTAGTATTTACCATTCCCGATATTTGTTTGTATTTCAGTTGAAATAAAATTAGGTACCTTGAATAATGAATGATAATATTGTCAACAAAACGATAAGTGCAATTGTCAACTTTTACATGATGTCAGATCTTTCTTGGTTTCTGTCAGCAAAAATCTACAAACACCGACACTTTTCAATTCCTCAGTTAAAAAAAAGTTCAGAAGCAATTGAAATGAGCATTTCTGACGACAAGCTATCAGATTCCATCCTATTTTAGGCAGCAAACTCTGCTAGTTCGAAATTACTGTCCGCTAAATCTCAACAAAAATATGAGATACAATATATAATTTGAGTATGGTCTCACAACAAAAGGACCAATAGTGTCGAGAAGGAAGGTGTTCCTGGCCTGTTTTGAAGATTGACGGAGAACATATCAACCAAATACTTTTTGGAGTTAGTACCTACCTACTCTATGTTGAGAAGTGTTCTTGGAAATGAAATGAATGTGAATTTGGGTGAATCTTTCAAGCTAACATACTTTTTGAAGAAGCAAAATGTGAGATACCGACCGGAACAGGTCAAACCCATCACAAAAGTGAAATTTCCAGATTTATGGAACAGGCACTTGATCAAAACCCTCTAAATGTCGTCACCATTTTTGGGTTGGCCAGTGCTTCTCCAATTTTCGTTGATATATGATATTATAATGCTCGTAGGAAAGATGATGTTCCTAACACGTGCGCAAAGTGCCTTTTAAAACTCATATGATCCACGCTTCGCATCGTTCGCCTTACTGTTTCTACGTGCGGAAAATTAACACTTTTCGCACTTGTTAGGAAAATAACTATATCGAAATTGTCACGTTCATGAAATACTTGTCAAATTGAAACAGTAACATAAATCATCATATGTAATTATTTTGAATTCAAACATAAGGCAATACCCTACTACTGTTCAAAATACTATTGTTATAAAAAATGCAATTGAATGGTTTTCATCTACTCACTGAATCGGTAGTAGGCGTTGGCTACCTCATTTGAGGAGAGAAAGTTATCAACTTACTCCCACGGGAAGATAATAGTAGATTATATCACGAGTCAATAATGATAGCTATTATTCTCGAGGAATTTTTACGAACCGAGCCGTGTTAGCAGCGAGGGAGTAACATTCCGAGAGGATAATAGCCATTATTGCGAGTAGAATAGACAAATTTATTCATTTTAGATTTTCAATGAACAACTTTATTTGTCAATAACATTTATTTTAGATTTTCAATGAACAAATACTGTCTGTAGGTTGATCGAGGAGGTGGTACATTCATTATTCAAAATTTTTTGGGATTTTCTCTCCTTGTTTCTATAAAATAAAAATATGAATATTATTTCAATATACGTGTAGTAAGGACAAATCAGATGATTTGCCCCAAGATGTCACTGCGTTTAAAGAATTTTCCTATCAGAGAGCCTAAAAGAAAAATTCACTAGCTTGTCAGTGACAATTTGTATTGAAAAATTTTTGGAGAAGAGAAATAAAGGTATATAGAAAAAATATCAAATTTTCACTTATCTTTGGACGTTTCGGGACCGATTCTGCTCCCGTTTTCAACATAAAGAGATATTTTCAATTGCGAAGTCGTATAATATGTCTTGAAGCTTTTCAGTTTTCAATGACAATTGGTTACGTTGGCAATCAAAGGAGTTACAGGATGTTTTCATTAATTAATCTTGAATTTACCATTTTCATGTTCAGATTTTAGTAGTGAATACCATGTTCTATCTATATCAACTGAACAAGAAGCAATGCTATTGTCTCCGTTCAGAAGAATGCAAGCAGATTCCTTGATTTTTCTCTTCTGGTTGTTATCTTCTTTTCCAATGATTTTAATATTATTCCACTCTGCCATATGTTGTCCGTCTTCAGTAAGAATATGTTCAGCTAGTTTCGATTTATCGATGTTTCTTTTCTTTATATTGTACTCATGTTCCTTCGTCCTTACTGAAAGAGGTCTCTTGGTTTCACCTGTATAAAACTTTCCACAAACATAAGGTATACTGTAAATACAATTTTTTGACGCTTGTTCTTCATTTTTCGGCTTTGTTTGAGTTAGAATTGATCTCATTGTATTTTCAGTTTTGAACACAGTTTTCACTTCAAATTTATCACCAACACGTTTTATTTTTTCAGATATGTCGGGAATGTATGGTATTATATTTGTCTTTATTGATGGTTGATTTTATTGTGGTTGACCCTGTTTGTTTTCAATTTGATGAATCGTCGTATCGACAAAATTCTTTGGATAGGAATTCAGTTGGAGAACATTTTCAATGTGGTGGACTTCGTTATTGAAAATTTGTTGGTCAGATGATATTGATTTGGCTCTATCATGGAGTGATTTGATTATTCCTTTCTTCATACTGTTCTGATGATTATGATTATGTGAACAATGCCGAACCTACAATAAAGTTCACTTTGGAAATTGAATCTAATAATCAATTACCGTTTCTAGATGTTCTTATTGAAAAATCAAATAACATCTTTGTACCGAGTGTATATCGTAAAAAGACCCATACTAACAGATACTTGAACTTTCAATCAAATCATCAGAACAGACCATCTCAAAAATGTTTGTTCTTTTGAAAAAGTTTGCTCATGTATGTATGTATGTATGTGTGTGGGCGGTCCGGGACCTGACGCACTTAGGCCTCCCTTTTCGGGCCCATATGCACCCACATTCCTGGTATCGCAAGTCAGCCATGGAGAAGGACGATCTCGCCAGCAAAAGAGACCAACTTCCTCAACTTTTTAGAGGCCAAATCTTCTCAACATCCTCTGGGTCCAGGATACTGCTCCCAAAATGAATATCCCTTGCTGCCACTACTGCCGGGCATTCAGTGAGGATGTGAGTTGAAGTCTCTTCATCCTCTAGGCACCATCTGCATTTAGGATCCTCCATAATCCCGATCGTGCTGAGATGTTTGTTCAAGTGTCAGTGCCCTGTCAGAAGGCCTACCACCAGGTTCAGCTCCTTCCTGTTCAAATACAAGATATCGAGAACTACATGGAGATCGGTAATTTTTTTTTAAATACAGGTCTTCGAAATAGAGTCGATTTAGGAGTGGTCCATTTAATGTGTTGAGAACTGTATACATATAGCAAGAGGCTGTATCAGCTTCAATATAGCAATGTACTGTTTAGTAGAATTGTAACTTCCTCTATATAGAAAATCATATCCTAACAACTGTTTTTCAACATAATTTTAACTGTTCTCTAATAAAGATGACATTATTTCTAGATCCTTTGCATACTTATATTCAACTTCTTCAAGCTCAATTGTTCCTGATATAGAAAAATCAACTAAGATATCATTGATCCGATTTGGTAAAGAAATAAATGCCGGTTCCCGACCAATAAGAGTCACCCTAGATTCTAACGAATCAGTAATGATAGAACTGAAGTCAAGAAACAAAATACCAAAACAAATTTTTCCGAATGTAAAAATCAACTCTGATCTAGCTCCCACTCAGCAAAAATATTTGACTGAGCTGAGTATTGAACTGAACAAACGTAAAAATAAAGGATAAACCAACATTGGTATCAAATACATCAGAGGGTGCCCGAAAATTGTGACCTTGACATCCAACAATGGCTCCCACATAGGAAAAAGGACACGCGATGGAGACTGCTCCCCGAAACGTGACTCTGGATTGGAGATACCTAAACCAGGAATAGTTGGAAGCTCTGACATCACTGCTAATCCTTATTTATATTACTCGCATAATTGCCCAAATCAGACTTGCTAGTAAAACACATTTACAATTCACTTATAACGGTAACTTATATGTTATTGATTTCAATAATGAATGCAACATTTTGTAACCTGGATCTGCCTCTTAGCTTCCAGCATTTTATCTTTGAATGTCCTATATTAACAGCAGTGAAATCCCGGAATTGTACTTTATTGAACAACCTTGATACTTTTGTAGTGGGGATTGACAACGTTTCAGCTAGGGATGCAAGCTCTTATATTGTCGCAACTCAGATGGTTTTGGTAGATTCTTTGGCAAACGGCGTGTCCACCACATGTCGCAACTCAGATGTTGCCCTCCTATGGATCGCAACTTGGCTACTCGCTTGGCTTAATGAGAGGATTTTGATCATTTCACCATCCAACCCTATTCACCCCCAAATAAAGAGACCGGACAGTTTTCATAGAAAAGTAACATTTATTAATTGAATGAAAAGTTTTATGAATAGATGCTGCCACATGGCAGGTTAACAAAAGGAAAAAAAAGATCAACGCAAAACAACATTGGGAAAAAAAACAGTACTTACATGATGGGGTTGACCAGCAGGATCAAAGTCGGGAAGACGGTACACATTTTGGCAGTAACTCGTGAATTAGTAACTCAATTACGGAATAAAGTAAAGTGTTGTCGAAATGCATTATAATAGTAATGAATTAGTAATCAGTTATGACAAATCAGTAATAATGAATCAATAATAATGAAAAGTCAGTATTGCCTCGCTTATCGATTCGGAATCTATTTATATTTGGAATCGATGCTAACATTGCAATTTTCCGCAATGGCAATGCTCGATACCGGGCTTAGCCCGCGTCGCAAGCTAAGCGGTT